AATTGATTTTTTTTTTCAAAGGAAAAGGTTAGGAAAAACAAAAGCTTCATTTAAATTAAACTATTTTCCGTATGCGAAAATTCTTCGGGTTCATGCTGAAACGAACTTGAACTTCAACCGACCATACTATAAAATTTCGCTGTTACCGATCATTTTGGTCCGCCTCTTAAGCGGGGAACACACTTACCCGATGCAACGCTATGCGACGCTACCCGACGCAAAGCCAAAGTCCAATTTTCCATAAGATTGCTTTACCCCCGTGCACATCTGCCCGATTCCACGCAACGTTACCCTACCCAAAGCTCTGCGATCCCCACTGTCCAGATTTTCATCGGGTCGCATCGAGTGCAGTCGAAGACAAAAGAACGGGACACTCATATTTTTATTCAAACTACATGTCTTATTGTTGTTATATTAATTACAACATAATTATTTTAATAGAAATGATGAATGATGGAGTGAGTGCGACGTTCAATCCTTTAAAAAAAAAGTTCCTGCTCAAAGTAAGTTGCTTTCCGGATTTCTCTCGACATGAATTGCAAAAGTGAACCCGCTTAAAAAAAACCAGCTTCTCATTGGAACGTCGCGGTGGCAGTGGTATCGGCGGGTTCACTTTTGCAATTCATTTCGAGAGACGTGGTTGTAGAAATCCTTCAACCTGATGATGAGCGAAGGGCTCGAAATCCCGATCATTGGAAAACAACTTACTGTGAGTAGAAACTCTTTATCCTTTCTTAAAAAAAGGTTACTTATTTTAATATAAACCAAATTAACCGAGAAAAATTCATTAGTTTTTATTTAAAAAATAATAATTTTAATGGTTAAGAAGAAAACTTATCAAAACACCGGAATAACTTTATTAAAAAAATTAAGTTTAACAAACAATTTATCACACGGTTGGGCTCATAAAATTTATCTAACAATTTATTACATGGTTTTGTTAAAAAAAAATGCATTAAGAACAAAAGAGGGGTTCCGATTGCGATACTGATTTGTGATACACGCTGTGTGACTGTACTTCGCGTGCGCTTGACGTCGCATAAATGTGCACACCCTACCAAAACGTGACAAGGCGTCGGGTAGCATCAGGTAGCGTCGCATAGCGTTCCATCGAGTAAGTTCCCCGCTTCAAGCCAGGAACACACTTACCCGATGCTTCGCCATGCGACGCTACCCGATGCTACCCGACGCCTTGCCACGTTTTGGTGGGGTGTGCACATCTATCCGACGCAAGCACACGTCGCGTACAGTCCACAGCGTTTATCACAATAATCACTATCACAATCGCAACGCATCTTTTGTTCTTAATGCACTATTTTGAGCAAAACCTTGTAATAAATTGTTAGTTAAATTTTATGAGCACAACCATCTAATAAATTGTTTGTTAAACTTAATTGTTTTAAATAAAGTTACTCCTAACCATCATAATTAAACAATGTTTATAAAAACTTATGCATTTTTGATCTCGTTTAATTTGGTTTACATTAAAATAACATGTTGTAATTAATATAACGACAAAATTACATGTACTTAGTTTGAAATAAACTACAAAAAATATGAGTGTCCTGTTCTGATGCTACCCGACATTACAAAATGGTGTAATTTTACGAGCAAAACTATGAAATAAATTGTTAATTAAATTTTATGAGCAAAACCGTGTAATAAATTGTTCCAATTTTAGTATATGTACCGCCGAAGCGAGTACAATAAATTGTTAGTTAAATTCATTATATCAAAAAATCGTATTCCGGTGTTTTGATTAATTTTCTACCAAACCATTAAAATTAATTTTTTAAATAAAACTAATTAATTTTTAATCTCAGTTAATTTGGTTTATATTAAAATAAGTATGTTGTAATTAATATAACGACAATAATACATGTAGTTTGAATAAAAATATGAGCGTCCGGTTCTTTTGTCTTCGACTGTACTCGATGCGACCCCAAAATCTGGACAGTGGGGATCGCTTAGCGTCGGGTAGGTTTGCGTGGCATAGCATCGGGCAGATGTGCACGGGGGCAATGCAACCTTATGGAAAATCGGAGTCTGGATTTGCGTCGGGTAGCATTGGGTAGCGTCGCATGGCGTAGCATCGGGTAAGTGTGTTTCTGGCTTCAGTTGGGTTGGTCTGTCAGGTGCGTGCCGACATCATTAGTGTGTCTGTATTAAATACGTACCAAAATGATTTGTTACGCATTAAATTTTAATATTTACCAATTTTTTTAATAATAGAAATGTCATTTGTCTTTTCTTCCATCTTAATTTAGTGCTTCCCGCTGAAAGATTTATTGGCAATGATTACACGTTTTTTAATTAATATAGGTTAACATGTTTTCCTTGTTCTTGTTTGACCTTCGTTTTGCATACAAGGCGGACGAAAATTTCTTTCCTCCGAGTTAGCCTTAATTATCGTCTCTCTGTAATTTGCAATTGTGTCTGCGGTCGGGTCTTTCAAACGGATCGGGTCCTTAATTCACAGCCACTCCCAAAGATGTATTCAGTCCTAGACATGAATGAAAAAGGGGGGAGATAAAGATTTTTTTTTCAAACTGAGTAGGACGAAGTATGTAATTAGTGCCGCATGCTCAAGTTGTGGATTCGAACCGCTTGGCCTCCTCGGAATGTAATGTCCATTAGTTGTATTAAACCAGATGTAAAATATTCCAAACTAAGTCTACATAATCTGCAGGTCTAATCGCAATATTGACCCTTCTGCAAAGGGCCAGCCAAAGGGAATTCAGTGCCTACATTATACTGGGAACTTGAATTTGAATGGAACAATTAGGGAAATTTAGTAACAATTTAACATATAAGTTTCACTTTATAAAGAATTTTGGAATAATACTGCCACATAAATGCAAATAGGTTAATTCTTATTAGCATCACTCTGATTATTTGATTCCGACTTGGGAGCAAGTTATGATTTATAAATAATAAATCACTAAAAAGAAGATAAATGTTTTGCCCACACTATATCTCAATATCCCTTTCTCACTTACTCTCACTTTATCTCTCTTTCTCTATCACCTTTCTTTCTCTGTCTTACTAAATCTTGCTTTCTTGAGCCCTCTCTCTTTCTAAAATTGTGCAACCAAAAACTAAATCCATATTCTCTCTACACCTCTCTCTCTTTCTCTCTCTCTCTCTCACTCTCTCTCACTCACTCTCTCTCTCTATCTATCTATCTATCTATCTATGTATCTTTCTATCTATCTATCTATCTATCTATCTATCTATCTATCTATCTATCCATCTATCTATGTATTTATCTCTTTATCTATCTCTATCTATCTATCTTGCTCACTATATCTTTTTTTCTCTCCTCCTTCCCTCTGTCTCTCTCACTTATCTTTCTTTCTTTATCCCTTTCTCTTTCTGAAATTGTGCGACCAAAAACTAATACCAAATTCTTTCTCTCCCTTTCCTCCTCTCTATCTATCTATCTTCCTATCTCTATCTATTTATCTTGCTCACTATATGTCTGTTTCTCTTCGCGCTCCCTCTCTCTGTCTCACTATATCTCTTTCTTTTTCCTTCTCTCTTTTTCAAATTCTGCGATTAATATAACGATTTTTATTAATCAATTCTTTCCCTCTCTCTCCCTTTTACTCTTTCTCCATCACTCTTAATTTCTTTTTATCCCTCTCTTCCCACAACTCTCTATTTCTCTCGCTCTCTTTATTTAAATCTTAAGAATTCGTTTCCTTCTGCTAACAACCTCTTAACCTTTCACCCTCCTTTGTTCTTTCATCCTCTCTCTCTCTCACCCTCCTTTGTTCTTTCATCCTCTCTCTCTCTCACCCTCCTTTGTTCTTTCATCCTCTCTCTCTCTCTCTCTTCTCTCTCTCTCTCTCTCTCTCTCTCTCTCTCTCTCTCTCTCTCTCTCTCTCTCTCTCTCTCTCTCTCTCTCTCTCTNTCTTTTCACTATATTTTTGAGTTGTTCTTTTTTTATTTACGTTTTAAGACTCTTTTATATCCAAAAATCCTTTTTTTCGGGATCATTTTCTCTCTCTCTCTTTCTCTCTCTCTCTCACTCTCTCTCTTTCTTTCTCTCTCTGTCTATCTGTCTCTCTCTCTCTCTTTCTCCATATATATATATATATATATTTGAGTTTTAACCAACCTTATCTAATTTATCTTTAACTCCGTACAATTATTTCCACCATTATATACTTAGTGGTCCCAGTAAAAACCAAAAAAGATTTGATTTGTAGTACATCCAAAATACAGTAAAATGCTGCCAACCGAACTGTTCTATCTCAATTTAGTCTGAACTTATGAATTTTTACGGTTTTTTTTGCAAAGTCCTGACCTTAAGCCATAAATTGGTATTTTTTAAAAATCTAGAACAATCATTCTAATTTTTAACAACATTTTTGAATTCTGTATTAAATTTCCCGTAAGGACCTATTTTTAATCTTATTAAACGCCGATGTATGTTTATTAATTCAACCCAAAATGAAGAATTTTTAAAAAAGGACAAAATTTTGATAAATTTTCAAAAATAACTGTTTTTCAACAAACATATTTGAAGAGGAGTCAAACATCATAAAAACTTCTTCATTTAAATCGAGGAGTGAACTGTACCATTTCGAAAATTTTAAACAACATTGTTGATGAAGCAGGATTTAAAAAGTAATGAATTATTTTTAATTAATATTTGTCAGTAATTTTTAATTAATAATTATCTCCCACTCACCCTCTTAACTTTTGCGTTCCACCCCCTCAAGATATTTATTGTATGTTCTATTGATCTCCTTAATGGATGCTTCTTCCTTTCTAGCTTCTAAAACTTACAAACATGAACAATGAAGTCCGTAAAGATTCTGTTTATAACAAAACTTATCAGTTGTTAATAGACAATTTGTACTCACCTTATGTCCATGTCCTCATGTTGTATGTAAATCAATAGATTTTATTTGGTTTTCAAAAAAATCCTTGTCTTTTCATGGTTTTTCGTATGGTTTATTGAAAGACTTTCTATTTTCTCTATTTTCTAGCGGGTTGGACAGTTCGTCCACATCGTCTTGCGTGAAGCTGATGAGACAGCTGAGCCGTCAGGGGAGGACCATCGTGTGCACGATCCACCAGCCTTCGGCACTCCTTTTCGAACAGTTCAACCACGTTTACTGCATGTCCGAAGGGGTGAACATTTACCAGGGTAGCCCGGCGGCCATGCTGACCTACATGGCCAACTTCGGCTTGATATGCCCTCCGTACCACAACCCGGCAGATTTCAGTAAGTCTCGTTTCATTTGACAATTGGCATTTGGTGTATCGAGGTTTTGAGATGATAAAAGAGATTTTTTAAAATAAGAATAAAGGAAGACAACTTTAAGTAATTTCTTGTTACAGTTAGTAAGATTTTTATTATCTAGTTAAGCCAAATAGTTATAGTTAAGGGAAGGCCTTTTTAGTGAAAAATGTAATTCTAGTTTAAAATGGCCATTATGTTTTATTTATTTCAACTTCATACAAAGTTTAATAAATATTTGATTTTATAATTGGGCAAATTATACAATTCGTGACTGTTTATTCCGCTTTAAATGCGACATTTTGTAAATAGGGGTAAACATGTGGCAACCGGGCAAGAATCTACTTCGTTAGGGGATGAAAGCTCACGAGCAATTCACATTAATCCAATATAATCGGTTTCTGCGCCGTTGAGCCTGCCTTGTAATCATACAAGCACTATTCTATTGTGGGTTCTAAACGGAAAATTAAATGAAGCAAACAGCTTAACAGTTCTTATCTACGATGTTATTGTGATTATGGCTTGGAAAAAGTAGAGAGCGGAAATTAAGTTGACGAATTGTCTAAAGATTTCTTAGAAATGCGGCTGTTTGGTTGTTGTGAAATTGCACGGGTAAAACTCAAAAGTTTATTTCATGTCCGGTGACAAGCCTACGAAATATAATGGATGATTTTTTTTAAGCTAAAATCAACGAAATTCGTTTTGAAGTACATATAAGCCATGAGGATACGTTGGCGTTTGGCCTCTGCAAACATTTCTTTGTGCTCAGGCTTGTTTTAAACGTGAAAAAATACCGGTTAAAATAACGGTTTAGACAAAATGTGAATGTAATTGAAAAATGAAGGGATTTCCGTATTTCCCTAATAGGCGGAACATTGTTCAACGCGTCTCGTTAGGGCGAGTCCAATTTAACTCTTTTTCCTTCAGTAAGAAAAGCATTTTGAAACATTTTTTAATTGTTAGTCAGAAATCGTGATATGCGATCTGGTGTGATGTAGGTTTCAGAAAAACATTTTCTTCATCGTGCCAACGTTTTGATCTTTATTGAGATCATCTTCAGGGCTCAAAGTGTTTGTCTTCTGTGTATTTGTGCCATTCTTGGCAACTGAGCACTCTCAACGCGACACGCAAGAATGGCACAATTACACAGAAGACAAACACTTTGTCCCTGAAGATGATCTCAACAAAGATCGAAACGTTGGCACGATAAAGAAAATGTTTTTCTGAAACCTACATCACACCAGACCGCATCTCACGATTTCTGAAGAATTATCGATTAACGGTGGTCACCACACATTTTTTAATAGTTGAAATTATATATATATAAAAAGAAGCTTTTTTCTCTTTTTTCTTTTACTCACACCTTCTTTCTGACGCTACTTCTCCCTCCCACTTACGTCTCTCTATTTCCTTTTCCGTTTCTTTTCTCTGTCACTCTCTCTCTCTCTTTTCCTCAAAACCTTCGTCTTCTTTTATATTATCTTTGTATCTCCCTCCCTCCCTCCCTCTCCCCTCTCTCTCTCTCTCTCTCTCTCTCTCTCTCTCTCTCTCGTCATTTATCTCGTTGTGTGTCTTTCACTGTCTTTCATTTATGTATCTGTTCCTCCCAATATTCGTTCTTTATAATTTCTTTTTTTTTCTCACTTCCCAATCTATCCCTGTATTTTTTTTAACAGATATTCAAAAGTGACTATCTCCGACTAACTTTGTTTATATATAAGTTTGTCATACCAATTTTTGACTATGAAACAAACTATAGAAGTTTCATTAAAATAAGTTTAAATACAAAGCGATAATTGGAATTTTATGCTATTTTCAACTGAAATTGATTGTATAAAATAAGTTGTTCTTGTGTAATTTATTAAGCGTATCGTTGGGGCTAAATTATATATAAAAAAAAGAAGTTTTTTCATACGAATTTTTGACTATATAACAAACTGTGAAAGTTTCATTAAAATAAGTTTAAATACAAAGCGATAATTGGAATTTTATACAGTTTTCAACTGAAATTGATTGTATAAAATAAGTTATTCTTGTGTAATTTATTAAGCGTCTCGTTAGGGCGAGTCCAATTTAACTCCTTTCTTTTCAGTAAGAAGAGCATTTTGTGACATTTTTTAATAGTTGAAATTATATATATTAAAAAGACGTTTTTTTGACTATGTAACGATAGCTCAAGTAGTAGAACAGCGGCGTATTTAGCGTAATTTAGCTATGATCGTGGGTTCGAATTTCGCTTTTGTCACTGACTTTTTTTTCTAAACCAAAACCTTAATTAATTGAAAAGAATTTATTTGGTCAAGCGGACCACGAAACCTAATAAAAAAAAATATGGAAGTTTCATTAAAATAAGTTATAATTAATTAATGTTTTTAGTTGCGATAAAAAAGTCAGTGTCACGAGTGGGATTCGAACCCACGATCTTCGGCTATATAGGCCGCTGCTCTACCACTGGAGCTATCGTGACCTCAAGTGGTGGAGCAGCAGCGTATTTACCCGAATTTCGTGGGTTCGAATCCCGCTCGTGACACTGATTTTTTTATCTCAACTAAAACCCCTAATTAATTGAAAGATATTAATTGGTCAAGCGGACCACGAAAACTAGTGAATTAAAATAAGTTTAAATACAAAGCGATAATTGGAATTTTATACAGTTATCAACTGAAAATCAACTGAAATTTATTGTTTAAAATAAATTATTTCCCTTCAGGAAGAGGAACATTTTGAAACATTTTTTAATAGTTGAAATTATTTATACATAAAGGAAGTTTTTTCCTAACAATTTTTGACTTTGTAACAAACTATGAAAGTTTCATTAAAATACCTTTAAATAGAAAGCGACAATTGATTGTTTAAAATAAATTATTCTTGTACAATTTATTAAGCGGAAAACAGCCTCTTTTTTATACAGTACAAACGATTTTTTATTTAATTTAACTTCGTATGTTTCATGATTGAACAATTCAAAAACGGGACGTCAATTGTTATCCTCCTTAATTATATTTTAGTTTGAGGTTTGTTATCGATAAAACCTCGGTCCCTCTGTTCAACCCCGTACACGTATTCATTATCGAATAAATTCGTTTGAAAACCTCCCTCTTTCAATACCAGGGAGTACAAGAGATTGTTAATTTTAATCGAATTAGTTCCCGTGTAATTGAACTTCCCTTGTACGCTTTGAACCTTTTCTAATCCATTTTTCGCTGTGATGTATTTTCCAATAAACTCTTTCTCTGCCTCATTCCTCGTTAATTCGGTGTTGGGTGATTATTTTTTAAATTATTAAGCCGATTAAATAAACAAAGGCGGATATTTTATACAAACATTCGTTATGAATTGTTAAATCTGTATAATTGTTGATTTAACAAAATCCTTTTTTTCCAGAATCAATTTAATAACTATCTACTTTTTTTTTCGATTCACATTGTTTTTCTTTAGGGAGAGGTTTTGATCAAATTTTGCATTATCACAAAGCAAGCCGCCACACAATATCAAATGTTACGACGTAAATGAATGGGGCTTAAGATTTTTCGTTTAGGAACGCTTTGGCTTAACCCCCATTTAATCAACACGGCACCACAAAACTGGTAAAACACAACGGAAACAAATGATGTGAAGGATTATCAAATTTTTGTACATTCGCCCTGTTTTTTCCGGTTCAAGGATGCGCCAAGACGTAATTTGAGAATGGAGAACCATAATAAATACAATATTTATTATGTCACTTTTCAAACGTCTACATCTCGGTAGGGATGAGCATTGATAAAAAAAACATCGATGGTCACTATCGATTAACATCGGAAAATTGTTGTACGACCATCGACTCTATAGTCTACATCGATGGTTTTTTGAGTCCGTATTACTCAAACCACAAATTATTTTCTTATGGATTATGTTTATGTGCCACTTTAGAAACATGAGCTATATTTTCAAACTTCGCCATTTCTGAACCTTTATTAGGAATTTGAATAATAAAAATGATTAAATTCATTAGATTTCGTAGTCCGATTGACCAAATAATATCTTTCTATTAATTAATCTTTATGTAAGGTATTGGGTGAGATAAAAAAATTGTGTTTATTGTTTTAATAACATTTATTAGGAAATTAGCCTTTGGTTTCATTTGTAGCTATATATAGATATCTCGGTCTCTTTTAAATAAAAGACATCTATTGTTAAAGTATTTTGTCCCTGTGAATTTTATTCAAAATACCTCCCTGTTCTTTGCTTTTTGGAAAACATCCATATTATATCCATAATCCTCTCAAGCCCAATTCCTGTCCCGTGCTCAAAAAAAAGATAAAGGTTAAACATGTCCGTAACGAAAATTAACCATATCCTTAATTTATTAGGATTAATTTATCGCAATTTTACAATGAAACACTACCACATCTTCTTCGGAACGCAATTAAAAAAACGTAGCTTTTAAGCCAATTTATCCTCTATGGGATTTCTGGTTTTCGAAATAATCTGTCCAGCTTTGGAAAATAATCGTTCAGAGGGAACAGATGTCCCACTAAGGCAACAAATTGAACAACTGACAGGTTCTGATAGGTCACTTTCATATCAGAAGAAAATGGGTCATTCCTTATTCACCAAAGTGGAAATTAGGTAAAAATGGAAAAAGTTGATAAAACATCGACAGCCCACCTTCGATGGTAAAAAACATCGACACAGTAACAGCGAACATAGCTCGCCTTCTATAGACGTTTTCTAAATCTAAAGCCATCGGTGCTCTTCCCTACTTGTCGGTGAACATCACCCGTGAGTGAAGACATACCCTAAAGGTCATAAACACACTTACCCGATGTTACGCTATGCGACGCTGCCCGATCCTACCCGACGCAAATCCAAAGTCCAATTTTCCATAAGATTGTATTACCCCCGTGCACATCTGCCCGATGACACGCAACGCTACCCTACTCAACGCTCAGCGATCCCCACTCTCCAGATTTTCGTCGAGTAGCATCGAGTACAGTCGAAGA